GGCTTAGGGTTTAGGATTCAGGATTTCTGGGGCTTTGGGTGTTGAATGTCGGCTTCGTGTTGTTGTAATTGGGGCTGCTGCACCCGGCTTGACAGGTAGGACGTTTTTTGGTTTAGGGTTCAGTCCTAAACCTTACAGTAGCGACTCCGTAAGGTGTGCGGCAAAGCCATTAGCAGAAAAGACTTGGATTGAATGTAAGGGGAGAAAGACCAAGCATTGAACGCAAAGTCCCTTTCTGAAGCTTCTTGTCGAAGCCATTTGTTGTCTTTCCCATACGGTCGGATGAGCCTGCGAGGTGCAGGAGCCTGAGTACTTGCTAATGCCGCTCTTGGATAGCTATGCAGCATTGACACGCCAGGTCTCCAGGTGTCTTCTGATCCTATGTTGCTGTGCGTGTTGCACAGGCTGTTTCATGATGGCCGTTGCATTCACTGTTTATCGCGGAGCCTCCGAACCTGACGTTTCGATCTACGTTCGCGAATCCGAGGCACCTGTGAACTTAAGAATCCCACCATATACAGAATCCTCAAAGAGGGTTTGTTAAGTGTCGAGCCCCCCAAACTCGACACCCTGATCCCTGAACCGTCAACCGTTTTGAAAAGGGTTCTACAGCTACCCTGGGGCTAGGCCGCGGTGCGCACGCAGCGCGTGCAGCGCCGCCGCCAGCAGCGGTGTCGGCGCCTCTTTTGTCGTAGCCGGCTGCGTCCCTGACTGCAGGAAGGCAAGAAAAGGTTTGGGCTTGCAAGGGTTTTGTTTATGGGATTTGGGGGTTTATGTCTGGTACTAATGTCCCTCATGGTCCCTCTCTCCCCCTCCCTCCCTCCCTCNNTCTCTCTCTCTCTCTCTCTCTAGAAAGGTTGGTTTCTTGGGACTTCACGTAGGGCATATGGCATTGGGGAACGTAGGGAGGTTTGAAGAAGTTGCGGAAGTAAGCACTTTGCAAGAGTGATCTCTATGGCGCCGCAGGCTATACCTTAAGGGCATGAGGATAACTTTCTTGCTTAAAATCTAGAGAAGGCCCGACTGTATCAATATATCCCAGGTCAAAAGGTCGGACAAGTTCGGGACACCACAAGAAAGGGGCTATCCAGTGCAGAATGAGCTGAATGTATCTCTGATGCTTCCGTTTGCAAGCTGCCACAACGGCACGTTTGTCTTCTATCCTTGGTTAGTTCGGACCATTCACTGTTCGCGGCATCGTACGTGCCTAAATGCTCAGGTGGATGCTAACCATCCCAGTGCTGCCTCTACTGCTTTGCCTGGAGGTTTGGCTGTCTCCCAGTGAGCGCAGGCCTTTATGTAGTTGGGGAAACTATGCTGACTCAGTAGGAAGCATATTGCCTGGAAGCACTATACCTTCTGGGCTGTATCATGCCTGCACCCGAGTCTAAACACCGCACCCGAGCTCACTTTGCTGAGGCTTTGCCGGAGATCCAAGCTCTTGAGAGCAAGACGCATCTCAAGACGAGCCCAGCATCACCGCCGCGCTAACTTCCCTTGAGGAGCCGGCTGCAGGGCTGCATGATGCATCACGAGTTCCTCGGACTATGATCTCTCCGTACTTTCCAGGAAGCATGAGTCTTCGACGAAACCTTCGCACCGTTCCGATCCAGGAAGGAGCCTGGTGGTCAAGATCTCTGAGTCTTTGCGCCCAGCAGAGCGCAATCGCCCGGTCGGGAAAAAGTCGCTTCGACTCGCCACGGGGTTTGCAGCAGGCGGTGTAGTTACTTGAGCACATGCCTGACCGATGGAGTGCTTCCAAGACAAAGCAACCATGCAGGCTTCCACTACATCAGACCACTATTTCGTGTGAACTTGGCTGACTTTCACCTTATGGGTCCTCCCACGTAGCGGCAGCAGCAGCACCACTCCAACCGCCGCCGCCACCGCCACCGCCACCTCCGCCACCAACACTGGCAACTGCGACCACCAAAGATCAGCAGCATCATCATGATACTCTTGAGTGCCAAGAGCAAAAAAAGTGGGTAGCAGGGGCAATCCGAGTGCATGCTGCTTACATTCAGGATCTTACTAGTAACTTAAAGATACTGTATGACAGGTTGGCCATCCGAAGCCGCAAAATTTCACGGTCGTGTTCGACACAGGTGCACAGTCTGGGCTGAAGTTGTTGCGTTAGTTTCCCTGAGTGGCCCTAAACCCTGTAGAACATCAAAACCTAGTGAATTACATAGGTTATACAGAACCCTAAACCCTGAACCTTAAATGCCTAGCTGGGCGGGTGGAAAAATCTGACAAAAACCTCAAGCCCTTCAGACTTTCACGTCGACTTTTTGGGGTGTCACGGACCAGACCGGAACCGTTCAAAACTCAATATTTAGGGTTTCGGATTTAGGGGTTTAAGATTTCGGGAGTGAAGCCCAAAAGATGGTTTACGGTCAGGTTTATAGACTTTTGGGGCTTGTGGCTTAAGGGTCTGATCCAATTTGGGACTGCTTCCTGTGAGTTTTAAGGTTGATGAAGCTTAGGGTTGTTAGTGTAGGACTTGTAGACTGTAGGGCTTCTATAAGACCCGGTATGTTGTAGATAGGGCTTAGGTGCCCATGTTGAATTCCGGCTCAAGCGGCTGGGGTTGGGTGGTGCGTACCAGCGCCTGGGTTCGATAGGGCCGATAACACTCATATCATATCATTATCAAGGCTTGTACGAAGACACTACCAAAAAAGGTAGGTTTCTATATAGTTTGAGGTAGGTGTTTACCAGTAATCGCAAGGACTGGCCTTGCCGAGACTCCTGCAACTTGGGGAAGTGGAACGACGGAAGTTTGTATTCATGGGCCTCGGTAGCTCTAAACCCGAAGCCCTCAGCCCCAACGCCCTAAACCCCAGACCCTAAACCTGAAACCGCAGTGTTACAACACCTGGTCAGGTTCGGGGCACTTGTTCCTTCCCGACCGATCCTGTGAGGACCCATGGGTTTTGCCTGGCGGCGGGGTTGTAGCGGGGCTCATAGGGGGTTATCGGTGTCTCATGACGGAGTCTATTTGGTTATGTATGCTTTCCAGGGAGTGCCGAACAAAGAGGTCCCTGCTTTAAGGATCCCATGATTGGAGACTGCAGGTCTTAAGGTTCAAGCCTTCATGACGTAAAGCAGCAAGATGCACTGTGAACTTCTGCATATGAAGAGAGAGTGTTTGACTCTGCACCTTTTCATCTTCATGACCGTGCGAGCCATTCTGGCTCCTCCCGACAGCTGGGACCTAGGAGAGCCGAGTAGATCGGAGACACCCCATGGGTTTCAACATCTATGACGAGCTGCCGGTGCCTGTGTCTAAGTACCATGGCACTGAGAAGCAGGTCTTGGCCGAGATTTTTCTGCAACATGCACAGGGTGGTGTCTTGCCAGTGACTCCCTGGTATGATGCAAGCAAGTCAATAGCCCGCGAGTTCCCTGAGCAGCTCGGATGCCTGGACGATCCCTCCATCCTCGGGCGTGTCTTCCAGATGATCGACGACAATCACGACGGGATCCTGGATCAGGACCCGACCCTAAATCGCCTTCAACCCAAGACCCTGAACTGCCTAACCCTAAACCTTGCAACTTTGCGACCCTACAACCCGAAGCCTCCAGCCCGCAAGCCCTAAACCCCGAAGTTAACCACAAGGGATCCTGGATCAGGACGAGTTCGTGAATGGCATCCATGAGCTCCTGCACCCCACCACCCAGGAGGCCAAAACGCTCCGCGCCCGCATTGCAAAAGCAGTGCTTCCAGCAGTCGAGAACGACTTTGGTCATGTGAAGTCCGTCGGCATTATCGGCGCCGGAGTCGCCGGACTGCAGGTGGCCCGACGGCTCATGGAGATTGGAATCTCTTGCACCATCTTCGAGAAGTCCGATAATGTGGGCGGCTGTTGGCAGAAGAACTATGCAGACTTCGGCCTTCAGGTTCCCAAAGAGCTTTTCGAGTTTCCTGACTTCCCCTACCCCGACGACTTCAAGTGCGACCTCTTCCCCACGGGACCAGAGGTCCAGGCATACATAGAGCTGTATGCCAAAACCTTTAAGCTGTACGAAATCGCACATTTCAAGACTACGGTCGTCGAGCTACAGCCGTCTGGCGGGCAGCGAGGCTGGACGGTGGTCTTCGAGAAGGAAAAGCAGCGCTCCTCCAAAGCCTTTGACTACCTGGTGGTCGCGACTGGGATGTACAGCTGGCCACCACACATCCCCCTGGCTCGAGACGCGTCGAAATTCAAGGGCCAGATCCTACATTCCTGCACATTCACCGATCGCAAGGTTGCATCAGGCAAGAAGGTCGTCGTCGTGGGGGGTGGCAAGTCTGCTGTTGACAATGCAGTTTCCGCCGCCAAGGAAGGCTCCCACACTACCCTTGTGTGCAGGTCGTGGCATTGGCCGGTGCCGCGTTACTTGCTGAACTTGGTCCCTTTCAAGTACGCGACCTATAGCCGCTTCGGGCATTGGTTCTTGCATCCTCACCACGGAGAAGGCCCCACTTCTACATGGCTCCATGGTACCTGTGCTCCGGTGAAGTGGCTGTGGTGGCGCGCTGTCGAATTCATGTTCCGCGGCCAGTTCCAGATTCCCAGCAGCATGATTCCCGAGGAAGGCCTGGAGACTGACCTATTCAGCGGCGGGCAGATCTTGAACTACGATTTCCGAGACATGCTCAACTCCGGGAAAATCCAGACAGTTTGTGGCGCAATCGACAAGTTCACCGAAACAGGTAAGGGATGATACGAGAACCCAGTATCAGGTTTTTTGGGAAGCCCGTCCTTAAGAAGAAAGGAAGCCAGTGCCTTGTAAAACGATAAGAGCCAACAAGTCATAAATAAAGCAGTACCGGTGTCAGAACGCTTTACGGATCTGTACCGCTTCTTGCAGCTCTAGCAGTGTGGATCCTGTCTGCGGGGGCTCTGTGATGAATTATTCAACAGTTTAGGTCAAACTGGTAGGGATCGGTGGTTTAGGCCATGTCTGTAAGGAAATTGTGCCGCTTTAAGCAATTTAGGCCGTGTCTGGTATGGATCTGTGCTGCTTTAGGCAGCTACAGGCGTGTCTGGTGAGGATCTGTGCCGCATTATTTGGCAACCTGGGTAGGGAATCTGTGCATACTGAGACGCCTTACCGCCGCGGTAGTTGGCGGAACCTTCTGGGCGCAACAGCCACCCTGTGAGGGGAGTGGCTTGTTGGAGTCCTGCAAAACGATAGTGACAAGAAAGCTGGATCCTAAAGTCCAAAGTCAAAACAACGACAACCGGGTTGAGAGTTGAGGGAATGGGTGGGTTTTTTCACAGCACCCTCAGGTGTCGTGCTCGTCGATGGGAAAGAGCTGGATGCAGACCTAGTGATTTACGGGACAGGCTTCGCGAAGAACTATGATATTTTCGACAAGGTCATCCAGAAAAAGCTCAACATTCAGAAGGACGGGCTGTACCTCTACCGCAACGTCATCCCACCTCAGGTGCCGGATGTGGCCTTTATTGGTTGCGAGGTGTCCACCTTCAACAATATTCTGACGCATGGCCTCCAAGCGCTCTGGCTTCGGAAGATGCTCTCCGGTCAGATGAGGCTGCCTAAGCCAGGTTCCATGGAGAAAGCTATCCAGAAGGAGCTTTGATGCTGTGAGTCAAGGTTCCCATCCCGAGCATAGGCCAACCTTTTATGACCTCAGCGAGATTTGCGGTGTGCCTCTCACCTAATGCAGAAGAAAATCACTCCCAATGTATTAACCCCTATGCTTCTTCATATTTCTTCATTCAGCATAGTTATACGAATTATACAGAAGCCTAAAAGCTTTTTCCGATTATTAAGGCCCTTACCTTATCCCTGAACTGTGATCCGGAAGGAGCAAGCATGGAAGAGAACATGGATGCCGCCAGCGAGTTCCCGCGCAAGCTTGTACCAGCTTCACATGACCAAGTACCACGACATGCTGGTGCAGGACATTGGCGCACCGCGATTTCGTAAGATGCCGAATTGCTTCGGAGAGCTCTTCATGCCCTACACGGCGAGAGATTTTGCTGGCCTTTTCTCGGAAGCCTCAAAGTAGAGGCTGCATGCAAAACAACATGATTCAACAGCGCATGCCAGGATGCGCAATTTTGACGCTTCGCCTACAGACTAGCGAGATCGTTTAGATACAGATCGTTTACACACATCCAGGCCGCAATCAGCCAGTCTGGTTTAAATTCGCTTGTAGGTCTCAACACCCACGGCCTGCTTCTTGACCGGATGACGGTGAGCCGTAACAAGAAACATCGGACAGTTTTGTGTACCTCGGTCGTACTTTCCGCTGCTGCCCTTTGTTATGATCCGACCCGCAGAGTTCAGCAGTGAAGGGATCTTTTGCCAAAAACCTGCTGTCATAGAGGGTTTTCGTTGTCGGGGCCTCAGGGCGGAGGGCAACTTCGATGACGAGTGGGTGAGAAGAATTTCAATCAATGTACCCTTGCAGTCGCCTTTGTGATTTCATACCGTACTTTCTCCGAGAACTGGACAGGAGCCTTCAATCGTGATCCACTGTTTGCGGAACCTGTCGGATCGGGCCCCTTATAAGCCCCAAGTATGCCGAGTACTCTGTCTTCCCCCCAATGGGCTGCTTAAGGAGCCCTGAACCCTTTCTCTCAAGTGCCTCAAACCCTCAACCGTCGCCAGCTTGTCACGTTTTTGCGTCGCAGAGGATGCGGTCTGCTTGCAACACAAGCGCTTCGACCGCAGAGCGTCCGTAGCGGCCCCAGAAGATTCGGTTTAAGGTTTCGGGCTTAGGCCTGGTGGAGAGAGAAAGAATGAGGGAAGGAGTGACAGAGAGGGAGAGAGAGCCAGAGTGAGATAATTGATAGTGGCCGGGTATGTTTGCTCACTCATGTTTTTGCATGTATGCACTTGCCAATGTATTTGTTCGTTCCTTCTCTGATTCTTTGACTTCTTTGTTCGAGAGTCTGTTTATATGTTGATGTGTCTCGCGCTCTCTCCATCTCTGTGTGAGAAAACAAGGAGTTTACACCAAGAGTGGGCTTGTCCTTCCAAGTGCGCGCTCTTGCGGAAGCTTGTCAAGTAGGGGTCGGTTTCAGTAGGAATACTTTTCCTAGAGCTCCCTGCTATAATATAACCCCATTCAAGTGCCCAAGCGCCCCTAAACTCAAATAAACCTGTAAACCCTTTGCCTCACCAGCTAATAGTCCGACTTAAACTTGGCAACGTCCTGAGTTGTGTCCGGGCCTAGTTCAGACCGCCTGTTCATGGGGAGTGTATGGCTGTAAGGTTCATGATAGGGCTGATAGGGCTTAGGGACCGTACAGCCGTAAAGCTCTAAGAACAGAAGAGGGTTTAGCGGTTACATCATTGCGTAAACCCAACCCCCATCAACCCCGGAAAGCCAACCGGCTAAGGCATCGGCGACAGAAATCAACAGCGACGGCAGCCGAGCCAGTCAAGCGCAGGGGCCGCTCCACATGAGTTGGCTGATGGATGAATAAAGCTGTGTAAGTATGTCTTACAAGTATGCCCTGGTAGTCCCTATGTTTAATTGTAGCCTACACTATACCCCAAAACCTCTGTTCAAAGTGGGATGTTAGGTAAGCTTGGAGGTTTTCTTGCGAAAATTTTACGAGGATTGGGGTTACAAAGTTTAGGGAAGGTTAAGGAAGAAGTCCGAAAAGTTGAATGGCTTAGGATGTTGATCGGCTTAGTGTTCTTCCGACCCCCAAAGTCCTAAGCCTTAAACGCGAAGCCCAGACCTGAGAAATCCATAGGCATGATGAAGTCTCCCTCTCTTATGGCATCGGCGAGATCGTGGGCGACTTTGTTCGCGATGCCTGGGACCCCGGCAGATGGAGAAGAGAGAAAATCTGTCGGTTATAGTGTAATCCCGTTGGAATGTGGTACATATTCAATTAGATAGTTCGCCCGCTTAAAGGGCTTCTGGGATGTCAGGGCGACCCGGCATAAATTGCTGTTCACATGCATATGTCAGTCAATCTTTCTGCCTGAATACACGTATAATCATGTCTACACGCTCACAGAGAAATATACTTTATGGATGTGTATCTATACATACTGTACAGATGCATGCGAACAGCAGTAAACCATGAACATATGCAGGCCAAGCGCACGCATGTGTAGGCACGCGCAGGCATATGCAGACACACGCGCACACAAACAAATCACCAAACAACCCAGCAAGCAAGTAAGCACAACCGCACGCCCATGCCTGACAGTTATCCTTACTTGCAGGGCTGCTGTTTGATGTAGAGTGTTACCACTTTCTGTTCATTTCAATCCCCAAGTTGTCCCACCATGAGCCATGAGCGACATGTTGCAGGCACACGACAGAGGCAGAGTGTCAAAGCGTATCTGGCATAGCTCTGACCCCCAAAACGTATCCTGTTCACGGACACATAGAAATCACTAGGGATGCCATCCCTCGTTGTCCTTACCTCAGGTGGTTTGCATCGGGGCGCATGGAAGCCTTGAGGAGGCTCCAGCTCCAGCACTTGCAAGCGGGGCCTAGGAGTTCACGGCTTGGGTTTGGGTTCTGGGTTCAATCTTTAGGGGGTCTAGCAGTCTGGCATGCTTCCACACTGCCGGGCGCGGACATGCAAGCCTGACGCAATGGGTTCAGGTTTCAGGAAAGTGCTCGCCGCAATACTCGCGTGTCTTTCCCGGCCGACCTCGCAAGCCCGGATGCGAATTTGATTTTAAGGTACAAGGGCTTTGGGTCCTTACAGTTTAGAGGCCATGTCAACTAAGTCTTTTCGATTTAAACTCTGGTCTCCGCGAGAAACCCAAAAACACAATCCTTTCAGCTCTGCGATCTGCGAGACATCCTCAACGAACTAGACCTTTGACCTTGCAATAGCCCGAAAAGAAACCCTAAACCAAGCCAGCACTAAACCCTGAACCCTAACCCCTGAACCTTAACCCCAAGCCTGAGATCATGGAGGGGTCGGCCCGCCAAGGATTGGTTCCTTGTCAAATGCCTGGTTAAGGAATGGTCGGGAAAGAAGGAGTGTTGGAACGGGGCTTCACGGCATGCTACATAAGTTCCGGAGCTTGGCCGTCTTACCAGCAGAGGAACATGTAGTAAGCATTGTGCTTTCAGTCAGACGAAGCTCTTCAGAAAAGGACTCGGGGTACCCCTGCCCAGTGGCCCACACTGATTGACCCACGTATTACGTCGCAGAAGCTTAGTAGTTTTGCTTCCGTGTCATTCACGAAATTCACGGGGTTTTCCTCATCGGTTAACCGACACCCTACACTCCGATTCTCTCGTGTCATGTTTGTAGGAAAGGCAACCTCAAGACCAAGGCCACAGGTCCAAAGCCACGAAACCGAGACCTTGGCCTTTCCAGCCGTTACATCCATTTTGAATCCACGAACACGCTGTCGCTTCTGAAGGGGCGGTGCACCTCAGCGCGTGTCATTCTAGCGCGGGATCCAAGCACCGCAAGGGGTTTCGAGTTTGTGCAAGATGTCGCAATGCCATTACAACTACTGACGGCGTCATTAACAACATATTCATCAGCATCTACTACTACTACTACTACTACTACTACTACTACAACAACTACTACTACGACTACCGATGACGACTACAATACTACGACAAAGACCGCGACTGCTACGACTTCTGCTACGACGACGGCTACCACTACCACTACGACTACCTCTACCACGACGACGACAACAACTACAACTACTACTACTACTACTACTACTACTACTAGGACTGCTACCACGACGACGGCGGTGCTGATGACTACTACTACTACTACTACTACTACTACTCCTACTACTGCTACTACTACTACTACTACTACTACTACCACTACTATGTACTACTACTACGTACTACTACTACTACTACTACTACTACTACTACTACTGCTACTACGGTCGCTGGCAGTCACTACTGCCACCACAATGCCATTAGCAGCAGCACCACCACCACCACAACTACCACCACCCCCCACAATTGTCTTCATCCTTATGAACTTTTGCTTCACCCGGGCAGGCGGGGCTTCTTAACTGCCGTATCTAAAGCAAGAGTTGTTGTGGATTTGGGCATCTACGTGGCTTCAGGAGTCTAGGTTATATGGTGTTTAGACGATCAGGTCGCCATGGGTGTCAGCGCAGCCTCACAGAAGAAGATAGGAAAGCTAAGCAAGATTTCATCCGGAAGTAGCAATCTATGGCCGTACTATGGCCCCGAGATCGGGCAAGCTCGTGGATTGTCCGAGTGTGAGCGCCGAAGCCCTAAACGCAAAAGGTCTCGAACTGCACAAGCCGAACAAATTTACGAACATCAACGTCCAGCTCACACAGAATCCGTAAGAACCCTTAGCACATTTTTAAAAGAGCCCTGCTACTTGTAGTAGCCTTGAAGGAACCTTCAGCTGAGGCCCGGCACTTGACCACGGAGCCCTTTCAGCACTTCGAGTTCGACGGGGTGCTCGGTTTGGGGTCAGCCGGTCTCGACTTGACGAGCCCGTGCTGCGACCAGTAGTAGTGGTTGTGGTAGTAGTAGTAGTAGTAGTAGTAGTAGTAGTAGAAGTAGTAATAGTAGTAGCAGGTCCTAGGGTTGGCCTTCAAAGACATGTTGGAGCGGTGTGGTACTGTTTGGGAGGATGCGCTTTGTGTTTGCACGGCATAACGGGCATGCTTGCCGTAGATTTTCTGTGCGGGAGTTCGGCACTTGTTGAAGTTGGCTTTCGGTTGTAGGGTTTAGGGGGCAGTGTCACAGTCGTTGCTTGTCTGAACGCACTGAGCAAGCGCATATTTTGGGATAATCGGGTACGTGCCATTTTGTGGCAGCTGGTTGGACTATCAGTTTCCACTTTCAGGTGACCTTGTGTGATCTTGTCGATATTCATGAATGCGAGATGTATGCTTGTAGTGGTCATGCCTAGCGTGATCGAGTAAAGGTCGCGTCGTTGCAAGTAGTCCCATATGATCAGTGGTCGCAGACAGTGCAACACGCTTCGCGCGAGCGCAGCCATGAGTGCTGTCGTCTGGAGCTTGGCTGAAGGGGTTCACGGCTTAGTGCATTGC